GTGTGTGTGTGTGTGTGTGTGTGTGTGTGTGTGTGTGTGTGTGGCGTGGGAATAACTACTACCCCAAGTAGAAAGATGCAAAGGAAAAAAAGTCCTCTTTCTTGCAACGCTGAAGCTAGGAAGGTGGCCCTTGGTCTGGGAAATGAGCTCTAGAAAACTTATATCCCCATGAGGAGTCTAGTCCAAACTCCCTCACCTGGTTCTGGATAGCTTCAGTCCCCTGCCCAGGCCGCCAGACTGCGTGCCCGGGAGCAGGTAGAGGAGGCTGATGCAACCGAGGGTTACCGTGACCATCAGGAACTGGGCCATGGCGGGCTGGGCTGTGGAAGAAGAATTCGGTGAAGCCGGCAAATGGGGTGGAGGAGGGCAACTCTGGCCTGGAGCCAACCCTCTTTACCCACCAGTTGAGGAGTCTTTCTCAGTCGGGGGGTTGGGGAGCGTTCGGGAAGTGGGAAGATTGGTACCTGAGTCTGTTGTCTGTCGGGGCACAGGTCTTGGATCTAGAGACCGCAGGCAGGGCTGGGGTCTGTTGCGAGTTCCCAAAGCACTCAGTGTGACTTGTGGGTCAGGTCGTGGTCTCCTGGGTTAGTTGGGCTTCTGGGGTCCAGCGGAAGACCAGTTTGGGAGGCACTTCCAACGCTAAGTAGTCTTTGGAGCTGAAGGCGGGGCAGCCGCTGATGGGGCGGGGCATCCTCCACCCGGGTGGGCTGCGGGAGCCAAGCTCTCCAGGCTGCCACTGCTACCCAGCCAAAAGCAGTAGAGCCTCAGGGGGTCACTTCGAGGGGTCCGTTCATGCTGGGAAATGCTCAAGACCTGGCCAGGAACGCCTCCCACCCCCGTCAGAGGGGGGTGTCTACCTTCCCCGCTCCTATTACCTAACTTCTGGTGTGCGACTAAGTGTCAGAGACTAGTGGGGCCAAATGACCCACCAGGCTGAAAGGTGAGTGCCAGGGTAGAGTTGTGTTCTGAGCCCAAGAGCATAATAAACCTGTCACCTCTTCATGGAAGGTAGGAGCATGACTTGGTTGCCAGCATCCCCAGGAGATAATGGCAGATTCCTGATGACTGCCCACTTGTTTGCCCAGAAAAGTGGCTTCTCATTACCAAATACTTTAATACAAGTATAGAATGAGCCTCCCACCACAGCAGTATTCTGGATGAGAAACTCATTTCTCTTCTCTGCACACAATAATCTCTGTACGTGTTATGCATGCATGCACAAACGAGTAATACATGTAAATATGTGTAAGCCTAAAGGCACTCTATCTTATGGTTGGGCATACATACAAGTATTGTATGAGTTGCTTTTTTTTTTTTTTTTTTTTTTTTTTTCCTCGAGACAGGTTTTCTGTGTAACTTTGGAGCCTGTCCTGGAACTCCCTCTGTAGACCAGGCTGGCCTCAAGCTCACAGAGATCCACCTGCCTCTGCCTCCCGAGTGCTGGATTAAACGTGTGCTCCATCACTGCCCTGCTATGAGTTGTTCTTTTTGTTTTTTGTTTTTAAGTCAGTGTCCCCCTCCCTGTTGTGGGACTGAGGACTGAACCAGGCAAGCACCTACCCCTGAGCTACATCCTCAATTACCTTATTTGCTCTTGTGTGTTGAAGTAAGGTCTCCCTAAGCTGCCCAGTACCCTGTGTATCCTAGAGAGGACTTCAACTTGTCTTCCTGTCTCTGCCTCTTGCCTCTTGAACAGCCGGGATTACAAGACTACTATAACCCAGAAAGTAATACCCCTTTTTTATGTGTCCTTTTATTTTTTATTAAACTTTTGTGTACAAAATCATGGATTTCATTATGACATGTTTGTAAATATTTTTGGCCATCTTTTTATTGAGTTACACATTTTCCCCACTCCCCTTCTATCTTCCCCCTGTAAACATATTCTTGTATTTTTCTCATATTCACCCATCAGTCCTTTATGAATCTAAATTCCAGTGGTTTTCTTCAGTTTTTCCACAACTAAAATCCCCACCATTGTGAACTCATATGTATACTGTATATGCTGAATTGTTCTTCAAGTGCTCATGTCAAGCCACTATCTACCCATACTGGATTCTGTACCACTGGTTCTTAGCATCTTTGTCAGCCTGTTGAACGTATTTATTTTGTATTTTTATCACTGCCTTAAGCATTTCTTTTACTGCAAGAACATTTCTGTGTGCCCATCTGTGTTTCCTCTTCTATCTCACTCTGTCCCTCCTGCTGAACACCCATGGGTGCTCAGTATACATTTGCCAGATAAATCCATCAGAGAGCGTTGCATGCAGGCCATGCTGAAGAGCTTGCTTTACCTCCTGAGGAAGATAGCAGGGAATTACCCATTTCCTCATTTTTATCAGTTGTAGAGAGAGTGGTTTCGTTCATGTTAGAAAAGAACAGTGCTCAGCACGGTAGTGGTGAGTATCTGTGAATCCAGCACTCAGGGGGGGGGGGGGGGGGGGGAGGTCATTAGCTTAGGACTAGCCTAGGCTACATAGCAAGACTCTACCCTGACCAAAAAAAAGAAACAAACTAAGGCCTGGGAATGTACCTTTGTGTTCAGGGCCCTGGATTTCATCTACAACCCCTTCAAAAATAAAATAAAAAGGTGAGGACAGTTAGGGTTGTTCCACAGAGAAACTCGGCCTTGAAAAACCATAAATAAATAAGGTGATTCTGCAAGCAAGCAAACACGGGGCTGTGGAAGGTACTGAGGAGTCTAGAAGGAAGGGATGCTGGGGTAACAGAATAGACAGGTCAGAGCAGAGAGGAAGGGAAGGGAGAAGAAGATTGGAGATCTGTACACAGCCCCTCTATTTGGTGGTGCGGGAAGCTGTTGAAGAGCAGGTAGAAGAGGCTGCTGTGTGGATATGCCCGGGCTAAGCTATCTGTGACTAGAGATGTCTGTCCAGGAGGCCTCCAGTCTTGTGGACCTAAGTTGGAGGGCAGGCCGGAACAGTTTTGGGTCTTCAGGGATGGTTAGGTTCTGAGAACTATTGTATGCATCATCCAAGAGAATGAAGACATGTGGCTGAGTACAGAATCAGTGTGCCAGCTCTAAGGGCCAAGCAGGGAAGAAGTGAGCGGAGGATGCCGAGACAAGCTCAGTTCTTCAGCTGTGCCTCTTTTCTCTAGCCCACCTCCACCGTCAGTGGGTATCCACACTGCTGCTGGCACTGCCTTTCAAAATAAAACACCATCATGTTATTCGTCCACCAGTACGTACAATATACATCCAGTGAGCTGGCAAGATGGCTTAATGGATAAAGGCACTTGCCACCAAGCCTAATAACTTGAGTTTGATCCCCAGAAGCCACACAATGGGAGGACTGACTGTTCTCCTCTGACCTTCTACACACATGTCATGGCCCACAAAATAAAGAAAAAAAAATTGTAGAAACACAATTTTTGGAAAATGTTTCTTGTATTCAAAGAGGCTGATTCTCTGGGGCTTTGGAGGCTGTCCTGGAACTAGCTCTTATAGACCAGGTGTGGTGGAACTTTTGCTGAACCTTACAGCAAAGTTAAATAATAGGCCTTGAGATCACTTAATATCAGGCAGTGATGGCACACGCCTTTAATCCCACACTCAGGAGGCAGAGACAGGTGGATCTCTTTGAGTTCGAAGCTAGCCTAGTCTACAGAGTGAGTCCCAGGACAGTCAGGGCTGTTACACAGGGAAACCCTGTCTTAAAACACTGGGAAAAAAGAAAAACAGATCACTTAAGTTGTTTGTTTGTTTTTTTTAAATGATTTATTATTTTATGTGTTTTGCCTTCCCATATGTATGAGGGCATTGGATCCCCTGGAACTGGAATTACAGATAGTTGTGAGCTGCCATGGGTGCTAAGAACTGAACCCCTGTCCTCTAGAAGAGCAGCCAGGGCTCTTCACCACTGAGCCATCTCTCTAGCTCCTGGCCCCAACTTTTTTTTTTTTTTTTTTTGGTTTTGGTTTTTTGAGACAGGATCCCACTATGTAGCCCTGGCTGGCTGGAATTCACAGGGATCTGCCTGCCTCTGTCTCCTAAGTGCTAGGATTAAAAGCCCTGTTTAAAGTTAACCTGCCTTTAAAGGACAATTATAACGAACAGCCTTATATGTCTTGCATTCTCCATGCAATCAGCTTCTACTAAGCTAGGGCATAGCTTTAATCTTAAATCATATATTCTTCTATGCCTCTGACCCTATAATGTATGTGTTATCAATGTTTGCTGAAAACAGTCAACAGTTAAAAGTGACCTTATATTGTAAATATAAATGTTGCAAATATCATGTGGATATACGTCAATAGCATTTGTTTGCAGTTTTGTTTACTGTTCTGGGCTAGTTGGGAGCAGTAGTATTTCTTCCTTGTAGAAACTCTTTACAATTTTTGTAAAGAGTACCTCATTCCTTCCCCATGTGATACTTTCTGTGCTCTTCAATAAATACAGAACAAAGCCCTTTTTTGGGACAAATGGTAAACACAAGAAGAGAAGTGGAGAATTCAAATTTGAGTTCACTTTTGGTTAAGCTAATCCAAGAGGAAGTCTGTGTTTTCATTCCTTAATGCATTAACTAGTACATTTAAATAAGAAAAATGCATTTAAATTCTCTATTTTTATCTCCGTGAGTTTTTTTTGTTTGTTTTGTTTTTGTTTTTTTTTTTTTGTATTTCAAAACAGGGTTTCTCTGTGTAACAGCCCTGGCTGTCCTGGAACTAGCTCTGTAGACCAGGCTGGCCTCGAACTCACAGAGATCCGCCTGAAACTCATATTCATTCACCTTTCTCTGACTCCCATATGCTGAGAGTAAAGGAATGTGCCATCATGCCCAGCCTGTCAGTTTTGTGTGTGTGTGCATGTGCACATGTGTGTATATGTAGTATTTAAAGTTTAATTTTATTACACCTATTTTTGTATGTGTGGTGAGCCACCGTGCACATGTGAAGGTCAGAGGACAACTGGCAGGAACCAGCTCAGCTCTCTCCTTCTATCATGTAGGTCCTGGGGATCAAACTCAGGTATAAGGCTTGTTGGCCAGCATCTCTACCTGTGGAACCATCTCACAAGCCCTTTATCAGTTTTTAAAAATTATTTTATGTATGTAGATATTTTGCCTGAACCATGGATATGCCTGGTGCCCTCTGAGGAGAGAAGAGAACATCAGATCCCCTGGAACTTGAGTTACAGAAGGTTATAGGTACTAGGAATCAGACCTGGGTCCTCTGGAGAGCAGCCAGTGCCTTTAACCACTGAACCATCTTTCCACCCCAATTAGTTTTTAAATAAAAAAATGACCTTTATGTGCTAATATGTGGTTAGGGCATCCAAAAGTCAGAGAATA